CAGAAACACTCAAGCAAACAAAACACGTGCAATGCGTGCACGTATTTGTACTGATGCAGAATGAGAGGACATTAGTACAGCCTAGAGCATTTCACACAGGTTGCTAGATTCACTTTCGCCAGAAAGTCGTGTATGCCTAAGGTGGAAAATAAATGACGTTTATAGTGAATGCCCCTATAAATGGTCTTATTTTTATGATTTAGTTTTAATCCAAATGATGCATGTGCTAAGTGAGTGAACATCAAAGATCACACAACAGAAGTGCGCGCTCTCTCTCTCTCTCTCTCTCGCTCTCTCTCTCCCTACCATTAAGTAACTTGTGCATTGTTTTACTTACTTGTTTTTGACATATCCGACCGAACTACAAACTTTCCAGTGATTTTTCTGTAAGAAAGATATATTCACTCATCTGCGCCGCCGCGCGCTCAATCCACTCAGCACGCTTTGTTTATCAGCTCGCGCACATCAGCTATACAGGCGGCAATACTGAATGTTTAACATTATATTCATTGCATACATATACTTCGTAGACATCCTTAATCTCTAATAACTCCATTCAGCTGTCTGTTGTTCTGTTGTCGGCGTTTCTTCGTTTGAATATGGCACTTATCACATGCTGTGTGGTATCGGGGCATTTTAACGAGTACGAGTACAGGAGCTCAGTATCGGGGTATCGGTATCGGTGCATCCCTATTAAATATCAATATATTATTTTTATTTACTTCTATGCAACAGAATCAGATATAAGTTGTTGTTGTTGTTGTTTTTTTTGGACTAATTATCCAAATAATGTATAGTCCTACAAAGCTATTATCAGAGCATATGAGCAGAGCATAGCATAGCAGAGCATAGCGTCATGGAAGATAGCATTATTTTACCAGCGTTGACCAGTACAGCTGAACTAGCCAACACCATGTTACAGCACAGTAGCGCTACTGCAAACAGGAATAAGTATACTGCATAGAAATTTCCTGTCAGCACGTTATTTGAGCGGACTTTGCTTTTCCGGCGAGCATGAGCGGTACACGAGCGGAGCGGTACACGAGCGGAACGCACGTTCATAGAGCGGAATATTGAGCGGAGCATCAAACCGCGCAGTGAGGAGGAGAGTGAAACCTGTGCACTGAACACTACCGGGTGTTATATATACATATAAAATATTATTATATGTAGCCTATATTTTCGGCCGATAATTTTCAGCTGCCGAAAATTCGGTGCATCCCTAATTTTTAGTATTATCTTTTGCTTAGTCAAATTTTGTTTTGCACAGTGTAGTAATATTTTGCACAGTCAAGTTTTGTTTTGTGCAATGTTTTGCACAGTCAAGTTTTGTTTTGTGCAATCTAGTTTTGTTTTGCAAAATGTTAGTTTTGTTTTGCGCACCCCAGTTTTGTTTAACATATTCTTAGCTTTATTTTCTTTGTGGAATCTCATTTTGTTTTGCACGGTCTAGTTTTGTTTTTTGCAGTATTTTGTTTTGTGCATTTTAGTTTTGTTTTCCACAGGGTCTTTTTTTTTGGCTCAATCTAGTTTTATTTTGCACAATATAGTTGTGATTTTGGCAGGCTAGTTTTGTTTTGTGCAATCCATTGTATTTATTACAATGTAGCCTAGTTTTGTTTCGCACATTCTAGCATTGTTTTGCGCAAAGTATATTTTGTGCAATCAAATTTTGTTTTGCACAATATGGTTTTGTTTTTCACAGTCAGGTTTTGTTTTGTGCATTCTGTTTTTGTTTGGAACAGTCAAGTTCTGTTTTTGCAATATCATTTAGTTTTGCACCACAATGTTTTTTGCTCACTCATTTTGTTTTGCGCTATTTAGTTTTTTTTCTGCAGCCTAGTTTTGTTTTACAGTCACTGTTTTATCACTCCACCATGAGACCACCACATTATTTAAATTTTTGGAAAGAGACATCACAGCATAATATGCTCAATACTTACCATTCAGTGTAAAGATTCTAGCTGAATCACAGATATGAACACTGAGTCACACTGCATAAGCTTATCTTAAAAGTTTTGTCAGAAGCACTGGTGTTCATTGGTATTCAGACTGCCCCACTTGTCCAAAAGCGTCTTTGTTGGGGCAGGTGCTGTCTGGCCTCACAAGGGCAGAAAGTCTGACAGCACTGGTTTCCTGTAGCCGGTGATATTAGCATCCACTTGTGTATGGATCCTATGTGGGCAGTAGCTGTTCTTCCTGCCAGGATTGGTGAGAGGGTGGCCGGCTGCCCGCGTGTTCCCAGCAGGTGTCAGCCGGGCAGATGTACCCGCTCAGAGAACAGTAGTGGCACTGTGGACACAGCCCTCCTTCATCAGTGCGGCTGTCACACTCGTCTCTCTCAGAGCATCCTGCCCACCCCCATAGTGGCCACAGATCATTAGCTTCTGATACTAAGTGTATATAGTAAGGCCTAGTGGTTAAAGATCTGAGCTGGTAACCTAAAGGTTGCAGGTTTGAACCCACAATGGATCAGATATCATCACTGTGCCCTTGAGCAAGAAATAATGCAGCCAACATATGGAAGTTCTGTCATCATTTACTCATTCTCATGTCTTTTCAAACCTGCATGCTTTTTTTCCTATGGAACACAAAGAAACTATTTTGAAGAATATCTTAAGAACTGTTCACACAAAGAACGATAACTATATAAAAAAACGAATCTTTTTTTTATTTATGTGTGATTCTGCAGAAAAAAGAAACCACATGCATATCATGAGGATAAATGATTGGTTGTTTTCTAAAATTTTGACTTTTGGTATCTTGTTTGCCAGTAAAAAATATCTAAACATTGTTAGTCATGAGATATTTCCCTCTATGGAGGTCAACAGCAATGAGAAACTGTATATCTACATCAGTGTCCATGTGTCTGTGGTTTTCTAGATGTGTGTTTCAGAGTTCGACTGGTTCATTGAAGATTTTTGGCTGAGTTCATTTTCAAAAGCAAATTAGTTTGTGAGCACTCTATAGCTCAGCATATGAAATTTGTCTTCCTGAATCATTTTATTTAGGTATTATTAATTAGACATCAATCAGTATTTGAGAGCGAAGGTTGTTTGCTTGCCAGAAATTAAAGTCTGGTGTGAAGCACAGAGAAAAGTTGAGGTGTTGAGCGTCTAGTCACTGAGCTCTGTCCAGACCATCTGTTCATGTGGAAAGACCTTCAGACAAGTACCTTCTGAAATATGTCTTCTGTTTGTCATTCGCAGTGTGAGCCCAAGATTTCCCAAAAACACATAGTGAGATGAGTCCAGAAAGTAGGGCAGGTGTGTGATGGAGTTTGTTTGTCCCTTAAAGTACCTTCAAATGTTTATCAAAAAGTATTCCTAAGAGAAAAACAGAGACAGAATGGTGAAAAGAAAGAAAAAAATAAACTTTAAGTCAATATCAGGGATATGCAAAACAACATAGTGTCAGAATAGACTTGGTGGGATGCCTAAATAACTACTGTAGGTTTTTTTTTAGGATTCGCTCACATAAGACCAATTCAAAAACAATATAGGATGTGTTGGAATGGAAGAGAAAGTTGTGAATTTTTACAATCTGTTTTTATAACTTGAATAACAATGTGAGATATGACGTATAAGACTTGATATAGTGGATCAAGTGGGTTTATAGTGGATTTAAGGTGGTTTAAAGGGGATGAATTTAAAGGGATAGTTCACCAAAAAATTTAAATTAACCCATGATTTACTCCATCCTAGCCATGCTATATGACTTTCTTCTTTCAGACGAATACAGTCTGAGTTATTTAAAAATTTGTCCTGGTTTTTCCAAGCTTTATAATGGCAGTGAATGGGGGTTGAGATTTTGAAGACCAATAATGTGCATCCATCCATCATACAAAGTGCTCCACATGGCTCTGGGTGGTTAATAAAGGCCTTCTGAAGTGAATGGATGTGTTTTTCTAAGAAAAGTATCCATATTCATATATGATCGTGGTTTTGCGCAGCTTGTCAGTGAACAACGGCTCTATGTAGTAAATGCTTCTCCATGTGAAAGCACACACGTGATGGAGATTTACTGCTGATTACAGAACCGGCTTTACTGACAAGATGCGCATTAAATATCGCACGCGATTTATCGTGCAGCCCTATTATAAACCGTAATATCTAGCCTCCGCTAACTGTTGTACATGTGTTCACAAGAGATTGGAAAATGCGGTGACAAATGAGGAAACACAGAGAAGAGAACAAAACAAAACATCGGTCACGAATTAGAAGTACAAAACAAGGATTTGTTAAGAAATATGTCAGAGGATTTTGATTTAAGTCAAGAGGAGACTGGTTTTCCTTTGCTGTAAACAAAGCTTGGTTCTCACGGGACTAACATATTCTCATATTCCCCTCATATTAGCACTACCGCTAAAAATATAAAAACTAAAAAGAGATGCATGAAAAAATTGAATAAACTAGTCAACCTCAACAGCGGACTAGTTTGTGGTTGGATTAGTCAACCATTGTGACCCATCCTTTGGGAATACATATTTTTAGCTATTTGATGCTGAACTCAGCAAGACGTTTTGGGCTATAAATTCTTCTCCCTTGTGTATAGCCAGCAACAGATTGTAGTGTGGATGAAAAAGCTCATGGTAGGCACAGATGGACAGATGTTCAGAGGCATTAATTGCTTGCTTTGTTTGTTTTTCACCAGGTGTTTGCGCTGTTGAAAGCAAAACTGCTATAGGCTAATGGTGACCCACATGCAGAGGAAGTTAGGATTTCATTGCTGAAAGTGCGCACTGCATATTCCTAGAGACTTGTATTAGCACTTGATAGATAGGCACACTTAAGTGTTACTATGCAGAATTATGCTGAAATGGAATGATCATCATTCACAAAGTTCTACACATCCAGTGTAATCCGATGTACAGTATTGGTGGCAATACAACACCATAGGCTTTCATTAAAAAGGAGGCCTGAATTACATCATAGAGACTTGAGATTATTAAATATGAAAGAATCTGGACTCAACTTGTCATGTCTTTGTTTCTCCCCCAGCACCCCCTACGTTCACGGACACGCCACCGCAGTACGTGGAGGCGAGGGAGGGTGGCAGCATTACTCTGACCTGCACTGCCTTCGGAAACCCCAAGCCGGTGGTCACCTGGCTGAGAGAGGGGGATCAGCTGACCAGCAACAAGAAATACACGGTAAGTGGGTTGAATTCTCTTTCTTAATCAGCGTTTTTGACTTGTTTTCCACTGAAAATATCTGAATATCCTGAAAACAAGATCAGTTTGCTTGAGAAGAAAACTACATGCATGTTAAGACTGTACTTAATACACTACTGTTCATAAGTTAGGGGTCAGTAAGATTGTTTAAAAAGCAAGTATGCGTTACATTTTTTAAAAAGTGACATTAATGTTGCAAAAGATTTTAATAGAAAAGAGCTTTCTGTTCATGAGAGAATCCATTAAAAAAACATCAAATTTTCCACAAAAAAATATTAAGCGGTAACTGCAAACTTTAAAAGATAAGTGCAACTTTTTATCTAACAATTTGGACTTTTTTTCTCGCAATTCTGAGAATTGCAAGATATAAACTTAGGATTGCGATAAACTTGCAATTCTGTGGGAAAAAAGAAGAAAAAGTCAGAACTTGGAATTCTGAGAAAAAAAATAAGAACTGTGAAATTTGCAATTACCTTTTTGATTTTTTATTCAATGGTGGAATGAATTGTGAGATTTTTTAAAGAAATTCAGAATTGCTCGAAAAAAAGTTTTTAGTTTTTACATTTTTTTTTATCTCGCAATTATGACCCCCCCCCCCCCCCCCCCCCAGAATTGCGAGTTGTGAGATAAAAAGTCACAATTATGTTTATCATTATTATTGCGTATAAATCTTATAAGCAATAATTATTTATACCGCGGCAGAATCAACTATTTCATAGTTTTCAACATTGATAATAATAAGAAATGTTTTTGAGCACCAAATCAGAATATTAGAATTATTTCTGAAGTGACACTGAAGACCAAAGTAGTGATGCTGAAAATTCAGCTTTGAAATCACAGGAATAAATTACATTTGGAAATATATTAAAATGGAAAACAGTTATTTTAAATTGTAATTATATTTCACAATATTACTGTAAACACCTTGGTGAGCATAAGAAACGTTATAACCAAGAAAATAAAAAGAAATGAGATGAAATTAAACAATTCAATATATATTATCTGAATAAAATTATATGATATATTTTAATAAGACAAAACCAATTGTGTGTGAGAGAACCTTTTTCTCTGTAGATTGAGCACTTTCGTTTTGGTTAGCTGCTGCCTTAATAAAGTAGAAATTGACAATGTACTTTTGTCTCCAAATAAAGCCAGTATGAATTTAGTCTAGCCATGAATTTGATTCGCAGTGAATTGTACTGTCTCATTTTTCTTTTGGAAATGGAAGCATGAATCATCACTAGCTATTTGTAAGAAAAGGCTCTGTAAGTCGGGGACCGCGTCGGGGGTCTGACAGTTGAAGAGCACACGCCTGCAGTGGGAATGGAGAAAAACTGACAAGCGTGTTTCCACCTAACACTGCATGCAGGCTGCGAGGGAGGAGGCGGCGCAGGATTTGACAGAACAGGCAGTCAGTCTGGCTCCAGTAGGCATTGCCTCTCAGTACATCAGAGGAGCGATCCCTGAGGAAACAGACAAATAAAAGACAAGAGAGACAGTGTAGCCATTTCTGTCTTACATCTGAATGTTCACTTTCACCTGTTTTAGACTAGCCACCTGCAACGCCTTTGTTAGCCGCACTTGTCTTGTTCCGCGTTTCCCAGCGTGCTTTTGGTCACAGCTAGCATTTACACGAGGCATGTTTGAGTGCCATTTGCCGTATTCTGCCTGCCACTCTCGCTCACCGGCGATTGATGAACAGGAAGTGATGGCTGGCTGCTGTTTTTCCTTCATGACCGCTCTTAGCAAGGTTATTCTCCAAACCCGTGGCTGCTCTTCTCCTCCTTCACTCCACGGTACTGCAGTGTATTCCCTAAAGGTCAAGGTTTGTGATGTCTTGCAAGCTGTTTGACGGGTGAGGCGTGGAGGTGGTGCAGAGCCTGTGAACCACATAAAAGTATAGGCATGTCCTTAGCATGTGCTTGCATTATATAACAAAATAGCAAACACGCTGGTATTTATTCAAATATATTATAAACTTTTCAAGGAAATCATTCAAAATAATTTTTTAATTATTAATTTATAAATTGAAAAGATTATTTGTGAAATTTTGTAATTAAAATGTTAATTAAAATAAATATACATTTATAAAGAATATAGAGATTTTATTGTATGTATATATATATATATATATATATATATATATATATATATATATATATATATATATATATATATATTTATAATATTATAATA